TGAAATTATTCAGAAATAAAGCTGATCAATTAAACCCACCTTTTAGCACAGTGAAACATTCAAGGACATCAAAGAATATGAAATAAAGGAGCCCCATCCAAAGGACAGCAACTTTTTCATAATCGTAAGGGTGAAAGTGAGTCTCTTTTCAGCTTTCTCCAGCTTAGGTGGAATCCTGTCTTATTCACTGTTTAATTATCATCTTATCTCTGTTCTAACGTTAGCACACCTAACCCAAGCCAGAATAACAACCCTGGATGTTAAATCAAGGAGTATATAAGACCACCTAACTGTCACTTGGAAAGCAAATTTGCCTTTCTGTGCCCTTTTTTCTTTACATACAGAGAGGAAAAAGGAGAGAACTGTCAACCTTCTAGAGCTACTGTGAAGATTAAGTGACACAAAATAATTGTACCTGGTACCAAATATATGATCTATAAATACATCGTAAGCTTTAGATACCTGCGTTCTGCCATTTTACTCTAAATACATTAATTGGTCTTCAGTTTGCCAAAGTTAACTGTCTGCCTGGGGCAACTTTCTTTTTTATTTTTTTGAGACGGAGTCTCGCTGTCGTTACCCAGGCTGGAGTACAATGGCACGATCTCGGCTCACCACAACCTCCGCCTCCTGGGTTCAAGCAATTCTCCCGCCCCCAGAGTAGCTGGGACTACAGGCGCGCACCACCATACCCAGCTAATTTTTGTATTTTTAGTAGAGACGGGGTTTCACCATGTTGACCAGGATGGTCTCGATCTCTTGACCTCGTGATCCACCCGCCTCGGCCTCCCAAAGTGCTGGGATTATAGGCGTGAGCCACTGCAGCCGGCCTAACTTTCTGATGGATTCATATAGTGGAATGTGAGAAGAGGAAACATGGTTGGAGAGCTCCTGAGGAGCTGTTGGTGCTGAAGGAAACATACAGACCAGATAATTTACATCAAACTGGACCAGGAATTCCTCTAACATAGGCAAGTGCCTTCATGACCATCGCCAGAAAGTGCCTGATTTGGCAAGCAACTTACCCAATCATTCCCCTTCCAGGAGACCAATTCTGAAACAATATCTCCAGTTTTGGGTTGGAGCAACTGCTTCCCAGGACACAGTGCTTGCAACAGAATCATAGGCCGGATTCCACCCCTATCTGTCCCCTCCGTCTGGTTTCTCTGTGCTGAGCACAGTCAGTTCAGTCTTGACCAGGGTCTTTTCCTTAAAGATCCCATCCAAACTATAAATCTCCGTGCCCCACCCTAACTTGCAGGTCACAGTTTACTTGCTTTTATGTAACTCACAGGTGGATTAAAGAGATTCCTGGGGAAGCACTCTTTTAGAAATAAAAGTTTATTTTTTTTCAAATCATGAAAACTCTAATGTAAAATATGATATGAAGAAAAGGCAAAAAAGTAAAAATAATGAAATAAAACATACCCATAATACTCCCCTAGAATTAATAACTGGTTTATATACTGTATTTCAACCAGATATAGATACATATATTATTTTCTGTGCTTCAATCTTATCTTCATAAACATCATTATCAACGGCATCAAGTTTTTACGTGGAGGAGTGCAGGCAACATTTCCACACCTGAATAAAGATTCAACAGTCGTTATTTGATATCCTTGTCCTTGGTGACCTTGAAGCAGAAAGAGATAAAAATAAACCAGTTGAGAGGCAGGTGGTCATACTTTTCTCCCTTCAATCACACTGTCTCTCCCCCCTGTGAGTCACGTCTCTTCTATTTCCGTCGGAAGGACTCTTTTCTCTTTCTCACTTTATCCTTTAATGAATGCCTGTCCTTTGAGTCACATCTTCCCCTCTGTTGGGACCATGACGTGATATTCACTCCTACCCAGCATGAGCCTAAGTGAAAGGGCAGGCGATGTCAGGGAGCAGCAGGAGAGAGAAGAGCTGGTGTGTCCAATGACAAGGGCTAAGGGGAAAGCTCTCATTGGGCAGAAAGGTAGGAGGAAGTTACAAAAGGGATTCTTGGTGCCACTGCTGTCAAGGAAGGCTTGGGACTTTTGACTAATGGCCCTGAGAACTGGAGCAATTGGAAAGCCTTAGCATTTCTGTGTGTCTGAATGTGTTAGCTTTTGTTTTGATCTTTTTGCACTCCAATATTAGCCTTTATTTGTTCCGAGAATCCCACATGAAAATATGTGACAAAGAGCATGAACTTTGTCACGTAGATCCAACCATCTCTGTTTGACCAGTATATGTATCTCATGAAAGAGGGTATCTTTGTGTTCTGATTTGGTTAGGGACATCCTTGGTAATTTAGGACTGTTCGAGCTATGTTGACCATCCTCAAATTCAACTCTTTCTTCTGCTCATTGTGTACCACAAAGAATTAAATGAATTAATACATGAAACAACCGGATTGTAAAAGATTAATGAAGATACTTATTGAAAAACCCCTTAGAAGAGTCTGAATCATTCTGGATACTCAGTAAATGAGTGGCATTATTATTTCTATTCTATCAGATACTCTCAGCTACATCCACTGTTTTAACAACTATGTCTATACTGACGTAATTCAGTAAAGGGCCCAGCAAAAATTGTCCAAGTTCAAGCTCTACAGTATCAGATGGATAATTCTTTTTTTTTTTTTTTTTTTGAGACAGAGTTTTCGCTCTTGTTACCCGGGCTGGAGTGCAATGGCGCAATCTCGGCTCACCACAACCTCCGCCTCCTGGGTTCAGGCAATTCTCCTGCCTCAGCCTCCTGAGTAGCTGGGATTACAGGCACACGCCACCATGCCCAGCTAATTTTGTGTATTTTTAGTAGATACGGGGTTTCACCATGTTGACCAGGTTGGTCTCGATCTCTTGACCTCGTGATCCACCCGCCTCAGCCTCCCAAAGTGCTGGGATTACAGGCGTGAGCCACCGTGCCTGGCCCCAGATGAATAATTCTTAGATGTCCTGTGGGAATCTCAAACTTAACTTGTCTAGAAAAGCAGAACACGTTTTTTCCCTGGATCCTGGTCTTCCTGCTGTGCTCATAGAGGTGTATTGGAGAATAAATGCAATCATGTACATAAAACCATAGCTTTTACTTCTACCCTTTACCCAGTAGATGCTCAGTTAGAAAAATATCATTATTTCCATTGTTATTTCAAATACTATGCAAGGTTTATGTGTCTGCCTGATACAGAAATGTATCGTGATTTAATTTGAACCTCTTGTGGAAAACCCAGATAAAGTTGTAGTGATTGGAATAAAAGACTTCTTTTTTTCCCAGGTAGTAATTCTAAGCCAGTAATCTCTCTATTTGTTTTCCCAACCATTCTGTGCTCTTTGATTTAAGAGGGTCATGACAAAAGATCAAAAATAAGAATAGTCTGCTTTTGGCTTTAAATTCCAAAGCATAGAGCAACCATATTATTAAATACAAACAATCACTTAGGGATGACCTAAGATCTATAAAAGCAAGAATGTCTTTCAGAGCTAGTGAGTCACAGAGGAAGTAATCAGACATATTTTCCAGGCCTCCTGTGGAAGTGCTAGATATCAAAGAAGAAACGGCTACAGGAGTGGTTAGGTATAGCAGACATAGGACCCTAGCTGGGATTCCTGGGCTAAGGGAGGTTTAGGTACAGTCAAATAAATCTAGTTGCTATGGAAACAGACATTAATGCCTATTTAAAATGGTAGAACCTAAGAAAACTTTATGTAGTCCCTTCAAAGCCAGAATGTAGGAGAAATAAGTTATTTCCCAGAATGTTGTCCCGGGATGTCCAATTATGTCTATGAAGTAATGGAAAAGTGGATCTGAGCTGGTAATGACTACACGTGAGTTCCATCCGTGGTCACCTAAGCCAAGATGGCCAAGGAGGACGTGCTAGTTAGCTTTGACTCTCATTTATTGAGGAAAATAGAATTCTTGGGCTATTGAAACAACAAAAATATAAACAAACCGAAAACTACCACAAACTGAGAACCCTGTACACAGGTAATCTGTCTTCAGTTAGTCTGTGTGGTTGGTTACACGTCTTCAACTAAAAGAGCAGTGACATGATTCTGCTCTTGCCTTTCTCTTTAGTCACCTTCCCTCTCACTGTAGAGCACAGTCTTCTGTTCTGTAGGTGGAAGTGACTCCACTGGTCGTATCATGGCCGAAAGCAGGCTTGGATTTAATCGTAACACTCAGATATAAATTCATGATTTCACCTTTGTCTGATGTTCTCCTGGACAAGAAATCTATAATCTGAACTTATTATCAAGTATGGTTAAAGAACACTCTATTATTAGAATTTTAATAAATGTTCTAAATAAAATAAAGAGACATGATCTTGTCATGATGTGTTCTATAGTAGGAGGAGGACATCGGTGAAGTTTTTTCTGAGGAAGGGGGATCTTGGTTGACCCAGAAATATATTGGGGCAAATGAAGAGATGAGAGTCAAGGATTCCAAACAAAGGAAGTAGCTTATGTCAAAACATCAGCTATGGAAAGAAATAGGGATTTTAAATATCAACTGTAAGGTATGGTCATTTGTCATAATGGAAAATTGTGAAAGGAAATTAGAATGGAAGGTACAAACATATTGTTGTATTCATCTCTCTCTCTGGATACTTCCCCACATACACTACATTTGCACTAATGAAAAACAATAATCCTCTTGAAGATAGAAATGATTTCATAAATGCATATTTTGTGATATTGAAGGACTTAGAATCCAGTGGTGTGTCCAATTATATACTGATAAATGAATGAGAAATGTAGCAAAATAATAATATATAGTCAGAGATTAAATGAGAATCTTTTTGAAGACTCTGATTACCACTACAATTATGTTTTAGAGGTACAGGAATGGAAACAGAAAGGTGGTACCTTTAAGAAACTGCTGGATGGGGTTGGTGGAGAAGAAACAGGACCGGCCACAGTTGGTGGGTTGGTTCTACGGATCTTAGACAATAACCGTGCTCCTGGGTTGGCTTCATCCTTTTGGAATCATAAATTTGGGTAATTTAGTCTTCCACTTTATGACAGAAAGAAATTTCTTTTCTGCTTAATATTTTTCTATATAAGTTGGATGTAATACATATGTACATGTGTGTATGTATGTGTGTGTGTATGTCTCTCAAAATCCCTTTTTATAGAATCCTCCCTCTGCTCATCTCTTTGGATGCTGGCATACATTTAGCTTTCTTAGCCTACGTTTCAGCATACACAGAAGCCAGCATTATAGTAAAAGAGAAGACAGATCTGAGTTGGCAATGAGTTAGGCACGGGTTCTATTTGAGGCCACTTCTGCCAAGATGACAAAAACACACTGCCTGTTTACTGATCCACCAGGTAAAATCTGTAGACACTCTTCAGGAAAATATGAACTTTGGGTAACAATAACAAAATAATAAACAAAAATCTAGTCACCTATGGAGAACTCCTGTAAGGAGTAGGTCTGTCTTCAACTCACAGGTGTGAGGGAGTCATAGAGGCTGTAGGCTGGGTCATTGTGCATCTTGGGGCTTGGGTGAAAAACTAGATTAGAGAATAATGACTTAATACTCCCCTTTCCTTTCTGTAAGTTGACTTTTCTTTCTTTTTTTTTTTTTTTTTTTTTTGAGACGGAGTTTCGCTCTTGTTACCCAGGCTGGAGTGCAATGGCGTGATCTCGGCTCACCGCAACCTCCGCCTCCTGGGTTTAGGCAATTCTCCTGCCTCAGCCTCCCGAGTAGCTGGGATTACAGGCACACACCACCATGCCCAGCTAATTTTTTTGTATTTTTAGTAGAGACGGGGTTTCACCATGTTGACCAGGATGGTCTCGATCTCTTGACCTCGTGATCCACCTGCTTCGGCCTCCCAAAGTGCTGGGATTACAGGCGTGAGCCACCACCCCTGGCCTTCACTATCTCTTATAAGGCAGTTCTGGTGGTAACAAATTCCCTCAGCATTTGCTTGTCTGAAAATAATCTCGTTTCTTTTTCATTTATGAAGCTTTGTTTGGCTGTATATGAAATTCTTGCTTGAAAATTATTTTCTTTAAGAATGCTGAATATAGGCCCCAAGCTCTTCTGGCTTATCTGGTTCCTGTTGAAAGGTCTGCTGTGAGCCTGATGGGGTTGCTTTTGTAGGTGACCTGCCCCTTCTCTCTAGCGGCCTTTAACATTTTAAAATTCATTTCGATCTTGGAGAAGCTGATGATTGTGTGTCTTGACGATTGTCTTTTTGTGTAGTATCTCTTAGGAGTTCTCTGTGTATCCTGAATTTGGATGTTTGACTCTCTAACAAGGTTGGGGAAGTTTTCATGGATGACATCTTGAAATATGTTTTAAAGGTGTTTGCTTTCTCCTTGTCTCTTTCAGGGACACCAATGAGTTCTAGATTTGGTCTCTTTACGTAATCCCATATTTCTCAGAGGATTTTTTCATTCTTTTAAATTCCTTTGTCTGTCTTTCTTTCTTTTTTCTGATCAAGTTATTTCAGAGAGTCAGTCTTTGAGCTCTGAGGTTTTTTCCTCAGTTTATTCCATTCTGCTGTTAATACATGCAATTGCATTATGACATGTTTGTATTTTTCAGCTTTATCGGATCAGTTTGGTGTTTTTTTTTATGATGTCCATTTTGTCTATCAGCTCCTGTATGATTTTATTGAAATCCTTAGATTCCTTGGACAGAGCTTTGGCTTTCTCTTGAATGTCAATTATCTTAATTCCTACCCATATTCTGAGTTATATTTCTGTCATTTTAGCCATTTCAGCCTGGTTAAGAACACTTGCTGGGGAACTAGGGCAATCATTTGGAGGAAAGCGAAAGCAGACACTCTGTCTCATCTGTGTGTGCTAATATTAACTGTGGTATAATTTGAGTAGTTAGAAACATTCCCTGGATGTTTTCAGAGAGCTGAGGCTTTGGGCAGAGTTTTTATTTCTAGCTGAATTCTTGTCCATGGTTACACAGGGGTCTATATTAGCAGAGTATTTTTGTGTTGAAGTTTTGGGCTGTGATCCAGTAGATGGCGCTTAAGTGTGTTGGCCAGTAGGTAGGCTCTTGCCCTGCCGTCTATCTGCGTTTCCTCAAGATGGCAGACATGCTCCCTCTCACTGCTCTGAAAGTGTGGGCTTCTTTCTCACTTGAGTACTGGCTGCAGATGTTGCCTTGGCACACTGTAGCTCTGGGATGAGCACAGACTCTATGTTCCCTCTCCAGCTTGGAGGCTGCAGGAGAAGACACCTTAGCAGTGGTTATGGCAGAGGGCCTTTCCCTTGTCTCTTGGTGGTCCACCCCAGAGAAATGAGGAGCTGCTATCCACCAGTGCAAATGGCCGAGGATGGGGCAGCTGTGCTGTGGGCCCAAGCCAGAGGGTCCCTGTTTGGTGATGAGCAGGGCTACGGGTGGGTCACAAGGGAGACAGACTGAGTTCTTCTCCCTAGGGCAGCTGCAGCTCACTGGAGATGTAAAGCACTCAGAGCCTTTGCTCCTTACCCAGTATGAAGGTTGCAAGGGCAGTACCTGTGCAGCAGCAGTGGCAGAGGGGCTTTCAGTTGCCTCTGGGAGCTGCACCTCGGAGAAATGCAGAGCCACTGCTACTGGGAATGTTCAGCTGGGGGATGGGCAGTTACATTGCTGGCCACAACTGGGGGCTCTGCTCATTGAGGAGTGGGGCATCAAGGACTCACAGGGAGGAGAGACTGTGCTTCTCCGCCTCTATGGTGACTGTGAAATGCTGGAAGCGCAGGAGAAACTCGGGTCTTTGTTTCTTCCTTGGAATGAGGGTATCAGGTGTAGAACCACTGCAGTTGCCTCTGGGGCCCCCTCCCCAGGAAGACACAGAGTCACTAGCCAGGGGGTATGCTCGGCCATAGATGGGGCAGCTGTTCTGCAATTCAAAGCCAACAGCCCTGTGTGGTGAAGAGTCGGGGTGGGAGCTCATAGAGAAGGGAGACCGGATTCCTCTCCAATGCTGGCTGTCGTGTGCTGGAGGTGACAGGGTAGTGACCAGGCCCTTTGTTTCTTTGCCAGCCCAAGAGCTGCAACAGTGGGGGAGTTGTGGGTTGTCTCTGAGACTGTCTCCTCAGACAAATGCAGAGCGGAAGTGTCTCCACTGAAGTCTTCAGGAGAGGACGGGGTAGTTGTGTTCAAGTCCCAGGCCTGAAACCCCTACCCAGTGAGGAGAAATGTGAACAGGGACCCACGTTTACAACAGTCCGACCACTTTTCTGTGGGGTGGCTTCAGCGTGCTGGGGATCCACCCATCGCTAATCACTGCTCATCCTCCAGAGCCTGAAGGCAATTGGCATGAGGGCTGCACGACAGCAATAATGGCAGCCTACCTTTCCCTCTAGGAGCTGCAGCCCAGGGAAGTCCAGAGATGCTGCAGTCACCAAAGCCCAGGTAGGGAGCAGCTGGAGTCCAAAGTCAGGAGGTCCTGCTCAGTGAGGAGAACAGGCATCGGGAATCCACGTATAAAACAGTCTGGCCACTTTTTCATGAGGCATCTGTGCTGTGCTGGGGACCCAGCCAGTCCCTAGTCACCACACACTCTCCGGGGCCTGAAGGCAGTTGTGGCAATGGCTGTGACATAGCAAAAATGGTGGCCTTCCTCTCCCTCTGGGAGCTGTCCCAGGGAAGTGCAGAGCTGCTACTGGCCCATGAGCCCAGGCAGGGGGCGGCTGGAGTCCTAGGCAAGTGGACCTTATCCTGTGAGGTGCAGTGGAGGTGAGGCTTGCAGTCCAGCACTGCTTAGTCCCCTGGACTCAGCCCCTTTCCTGAAGGCCTTCCCTATTGCCAGAGTAGCAGGTGATAGTTCCAGGATACTCAGGGATTCATGCTCCAAGGATTCCTCACGTGCCTGAGTGGCGGGTCTGCTCAGGCTCCACTTAGCTCTCCATGTCAGTCTGAAGGCTCCAGTGGGGTGGTTTCATGGGGTTATCTCCTGCACCCACAGTGGCAAAAGTACATGGTAGAAGTAGGGGTCCCCAGGGACCCTCACTCACTCACCATTTCCCTGCAGTGGAGAAGCCTCTTCTGACTCTGTGCCATTCCCAGGTGAGCAATTGCCTTGTCTCACTTTTCTCCATTCTCCATTCTCCACGGGTAAAGTGTTTTCTTGGTGGATCCCATGTGTCCACCTGAATGTTCCAGTTGAAGATCTAGTACTTACTTGCTATTCTCTTCTCTCTACAAAAGTGGTGCACACTAGCTGTTCCTAGTTAGTCATCTTGGCCTTCAAAAGCAGTATGTTAAATGAAGATTTAACCTCTCGTCTCCTCAGTATTCAGAAATATGAGATGTGACTAATAATATCATCGAGGCAGTGTAAGGAAGAACAAATAAGAAAAGATGCACAAAGTACATATAATTTACATTTAGCACACTTACTATATTTGTAAATTTGGGGAATATTTTTAAATCCAATGTATTTCAGTTTTCTCTTATGTATAAGGGTGAGAATAGCATTCTCATGACTGTATTATGAACAATGAATGTGACTATAGATATATGTATAAATATAGAATGCAGGTTTGAAAACCAGTACCTGGCCGGGCGTGGTGGCTCAAGCCTGTAATCCAAGCACTTTGGGAGGCCAAGGTGGGTGGATCACAAGGTCAAGAGATGGAGACCATCCTGGTCAACAAGGTGAAACCCCATCTCTACTAAAAATACAAAAATTAGCTGGGTGTGGTGGTGCGCGCCTGTAGTCCCAGCTACTCAGGAGGCTGAGGCAGGAGAATTGTTTGAACCCAGTAGGCGGAGGTTGCGGTGAGCTGAGATCGTGGCATTGCACTCCAGTCTGGGTAACAACAGTGAAACTCCATCTCAAAAAAAAGAAAACCAGTACCCCTGTAAATACTCAGAAAGTAGAATATAATTTATGTTTGGTATTACACTCTTTCTGCCAGTATTTGGACGTCTAGTCTGATCACTTATGTCTCATATTCCCTGTTTACCTTTCTCAAAATTCTAGATCAAATTGGCATGGAAAGTATCTTATTAAAGAAACTTCTTTATTTCTACCATCTATTGACAGAAACATCTTGAGTTGTTATCTTCTCAAAACAATCAAATCCAACAGTCCATCACAATGGTGGAATTTGGATGAGAAAATATATACTCTGGTTGACTAATATTTTAAATTATTTTTTAAAATTTCTCAGAGTAATTCTTTCCCTTATCATCCCTGGTCCTGATTCTTTTCAACTTGCATTCCTGGCTTTAGGTTAACATAAAAAATCAATGATGAGAATAGGCTGCTTCTTGTTTTCAATCCCAATGCATATACAACCTATATCAGATAAAATCTTTCAGCAAACCCATCATGAGTGGAACAAGACTTTCCTGCTCATCTAGTGAGCCATAAGTAAGTAGTTCGATACTATTTTTTTTTTCAGGTGGTAGTCGGACACCCAAGAAGAAATGGCTGCATGATGTGTTTAGGTGTTTGAGGCCATAAAGGTATAAGATCCTCCTGGGATTCCTGTGCTCTAGAGATGTTCAAGTACAGTAGAATAATTTGTACAGCTTTAGCAAGGGTTGTGATTAAGATTTTGGCAGGTAAGATCTAGAAATTCCTGCATAGGCCTATTTAACCAATATACTTGAGAAAGGCATTGTTTCTGGAGATGTTCATTTACATGGACATTAAAGTGGCCAAGAGAATATGGATCTGAGGTTGCAATGACTGAGCAAGGGCTCCATTCACAGACACTTGTGCCAAGTTGGCAAAAAGGCACAGGCTGCTAGCTCAAATAATACTTGAATAAACTATTGAGACAATATAGTTAATTAAAACTAACTAGCTAAGAACTACAAAGGTAACAACAAAAACAAAACAGAGCACTTGAATATAGGAAGCCTGTCTTGCAGAGTGTGTAGAAGGTGGTAGAGGTGTCTGTTGCTGGGTCAGAATGCAGCTTGGGGCTTGGGTAAGAAACAGTTGTAAAAAATTGCGATTTAATTATTTTGCTTTTCCTCCAAATTTCCCACACTTTCACCATAAATACAGGCTGCTGAACCCCGAGTGCAGGTGACTACAGGGGTCCCATTATGTCAGAGGAAAAGATAATCTGGAAAAATAATTGATGCACATAGCATGAACTGACTTCATCCCCTCTTGTATTCTGTTCCTCTGAGGTAGACTCTACTTACCCTCTGAGCTTATGGTATAGAAAGGGGGAAAATCACTCCTTCACTCCAGTTGTTCAAATGCTATCACCAGGAAAAATAAAGCGAGCTAGGAAAGCTCATAAGTGAAGGACCCAAGAGAGCCAACAATGAGAGGATCTCATCTAATCTGAAACGTTGGTACCAGTGAGGACTTGTCCTAGGTAGGGATTTAGGCTGTCACCTATAAAAAAGTGGGTTAGAGAAGAGACTGGAGAGAGTGATCCCAGCGAAGGAAGTAATCTATGTCAAAGCTTCTGACTTGGAAAAGAGCACAGACAGTTTCAAATAGAACCTGAGGTGTGGTCATGAACGAAGTGAAAGGATGGAAGGTAACTAGAATCTCCAGAATGAAGACATTCTTGTAATCACCCTCCTTTATCTGGCTACATCCGCACAATCTGTCTCCACACCTGGAGAGTAATCCTCTTGAGTCAGAAATTATTTCGTGAACATATACTTTGTAAATACCAAAAGACAAACACTAATAGGGTCTCAACGAATATACTTAACTGATGATGATAAATTCTATTAAAGAGATTGTATGCAGTAGAGATCAATGAGGTGCCTATCATGATCCAGTCACCCCAGTAATTATGATGTTGTGAAGCACAGGAATAGGAAATGCACGATGGTACCTTGTATGAGAAACGGCCTGATGAGGTTTGTGGGCATGGCTGAGAAACCCGATGCTGACACCCAGATGGAAATGAGTCCTTCACTGCAGTTTGCTGAGGCTGCCTCTGCTCTGGGGCTGAATTCATCAGGAGTTTGACGTCAGAAGTTTGAGTAGTTGTGTCCTTAGTTGTTGGGAAGAAAATAGATTATTTTTTTCTGATTAATAATTTTCAATATGGGTCAAAACATGATAAATATTTTATTTTATCCTTTTTTTTTTGGAAACAGAGTCTTGCTCTGTCAGTCACCTAGGCTGGAGTGCAATGGCATGATCTAGGCTCACTGCAACCTCTGCCTCTCAGGTTTAAGCAATTCCCTGCCTCAGCCTCCTGAGTAGCTGGGATTACAGGTGCCCTCTACCATGCCCCCCTAATTTTTGTATTTTTAGTAGAGATGGGGTTTCACCATCTTGGCCAGACTGGTCTTGAACTCTTGACCTCGTGATCCACCTGCCTTGGCCTCCCAAAGCGCTGGGATTACAGGTGTGAACCACCATGCTCTGCCTATTTTATCCATTTTAACAGAATCCTCTCTGTGCAAATGCTCTCTGGAATATCTGTATAAATGTAAAAAAAAAAATTTCCTAAATCTCCTCTTCTGTATACACAGAAACCAGAATTACAAACTTTGCCCTAAAAATGTCTGATGGGTGTTTATTATCTAAGTCTTTTTAGTCAAGGAAATACACAAATGGGTACCTGTTTTCTGTTCTTCAGATTTAGGAAATCTAGCTCTATCTATCTATCTATCTATCTATCATCTATCTATCTATCTATCATCTATCTGTCTACCTATTTTATCACTGTGCTGGAAAGATTCTTTCAAATCCACAATTCCAGATGCAGAATTCTACTGTTTTGTGGTCTGTATCAGTTAACTAGAATTCTCTGGGCTGTCAATCATATTTAGAAATACTTAATAATCTACTTTAGCATTTGGAGTAAATGTTTTTTTAAAATTTTTTTTCCCAAAATCAAGGACATAGTTCTTCTCAATCATATAATTTTCTCTATTTTCACTGATTTTTACCATTCCTTAATAACACATTAATTTCCCTAGTTCTACCACTTCTAGAATTTGATTATCTAATATATAAAAAGCACTCTGTTAGAAGAATGAAAGGACTCTAATTCTGGAGAGTGGCTTCTGTATGACAAGGCATTTTATTCACTCTGGCTACCTGATTATTTTTGAGAAGGCCTGTGTAGAACTTGGACTATGGAAACAAACCCATTACATGACACTGTCAATTCTGAAATTTTTAAAATAAATTGCTGACATTAGCATATGTCAACTTCTAATCTAAAGCCACATATGATCATAAATCGTTCAAGTTTTACATTTCAATAGGGCTGGATATGAATCCTGACTCTAGCACTGTCTTTGGGGACTTGAGGAAGATTTTTAATGTCTGTATATGTCTATTTTCTTCTACGTGAACTGGGAAAGAAAGTAGCATTCTCTTGATAGTTATGAAGAAGGAATGAGATAATGTACATCAGGAACAACATTTAAGAACCAACACCTAGTTAAGTGCTCAAATCGTAGAAATATAATTATTGTCATTGTTGTTCCATGTTCTGTGCTGAGACTTGTAGTTTTTGTCTGTTTCGCAAATATACCATGTGCTATAGATGTTTCCCATACTTCCTGGATTTGGGGGAAACCTAAATTGCTGAGGCTGCCTCTGCTCTGGGGCTGAATTCATTAGGAGTTTGACATGAGAAGTTTGAGAGGTTGTGTCCTTAGTTGTTGGGAAGAAAATAGATTTTTTTTTTCTGGTTAATAATTTTCAATATGAGTCAAAACATGATAAATATTTTATTTTATCCTTTTTTTTTGAGACAGAGTCTTGCTCTGTCACCCAGGCTGGAGTGCAGTGGCATGATCTAGGCTCACTGCAACCTCTGCCTCCCGGGTTCAAGCAATTTCCTGTCTCAGCCTCCCGAGTAGCTGGGATTACAGGAAACCCCAACTCAAGTAAGTATGGAAAACATCTTACATCATAAGCCTCTCTGTTCACTTCCGTGAAATTAGTAATTTACTCTCACTGACAGGAGGCTCTGTAAAAGCAAAGAATAGGAGGACTCATCAGTTCCGCTATCTTGTATCATTGAGGACTTGCCAAAGGAAAATATTTAAGCTGGCATCTGAATTTTTTTTTTTTTTCTGGGCCAGAGTTTCACTGTTGTTACCCAGACTGGAGTGCAATGGCACGATCTCGGCTCCCCGCAACCTCCGCCTTCTGGGTTCAAGCAATTCTCCTGCCTCAGCCTCCCGAGTAGCTGGAACTACAGGCGCGCACCACCATGCCCAGCTAATTTTTGTATTTTTAGTAGAGACGGGGTTTCACCTTGTTGACAAGGATGGTCTTGATCTCTTGACCTCTTGATCCACCAGCCTCAGCCTCCCCAAGTGCTGGGATTATAGGCGGGAGCCACTGCGCCCGGCCTGGCATCTGAAATTTAAGGAGATTCCTGTCAGTGATGGGATGGGAGAAATGGATTCCCAACAACGCAATAGCATGTTTTAAAATGTATACTTGGAATATTTATTTCAACTTGGAATGCTGAAAATAAATTCAGAATAATACCAGTAAACAAAGGGGAAAGGTGGGAAAGAAACTGGAATGTGGGTCATAGCACTCTTAGTCTTCATCTCTGCTTGTCTGGCCATTCCCCCTCCCAGTCTCTATAGGTAGAACAACGTAAGATACTAACCCTCTTGGGATCAGCAATCATGGCACAAATAAACATCTTAGATATCAAGGGTGATAATGTGGTGGCATCTCACTGTATGCAGTGAGTAAATAAATGGGTGATTTAATTTCATCTAGAGATTGTACACAGTTAGACTGTTGAAGGAGTTTCTCTTCTAATCCCTAATAATCCTGGCACTTTATGTTTGGCATGGGACCCAGGAAATTGTACCTTGGTAAAGGAACTGCTTGATGGGGTTGCTGGCAGCATGTGAGGAGTCTTGCTGGGATGGCATTCACGTGGGAAGGTTGTGCCAGCCTCTGAAGGTTTTGGAAGCTTCAGTGCCATGCTGTGGGAGTCAATGCTTCTCTGCTTTATTTTCTTACATATCTGAAAGCATTCATTTTTTTTTTTGTTTAGTGTTTTTTAATATCAGAGAAAGTACACCATCTTTAAATATCTGAGAATATCATCCTTTATTCCATTCTAATAGATGTCATTACCTCTAAACATTGCCTCTATCTGATGTACTCCTCTAGACAACTGCCAACATATTTCTATGCTAAAATGTAAAATGTTCTAACATTCTTAGTAAAATAAAATCTTTATTTACTTATTTTTAAAAAACGAACTTCATTTTTTTCTTTATGGCATAAGACAGATGAGAAGAGGGCTGCTTGTCACCTGTCTTGCGTGAGTTTCTGACACATTTCCACATATTCCAAAGTCGTACAGAACTCACTATGCTGTTTCTCACTTTTAATATTTGTATGCCACATTTTTTCTGCCTGAAATCTTTCCAATGTCTGTCTTTACCTTGTTAACAGCAGTAGTATCTAGTGCACACTGATTTGTCATAATGTGCAAGGAAGGTAATGGGATATGAACCATATATCCGTGATCTCATTTAATTTTCAAATCAATCTCAGGAGGAACATTTAAGCTATTTCTCCAATATCATACAACTAATGAGCAAGGTATATACCAACCCTATCTCACTGCAAAAAACTTGCTTTTGATCACTAATTAAATTAGGCCTGTGCCTTCCTAATTTCTTCCAATATTTTAATATTTAGCACAAGTTTCATGTTCTTTTGAAGTCAATAATGAATGTTATTCTCTCAATAGATTTTAAAAATTTTCTCTATTTATTTATTTATTTATTTATTTTTTGAGACGGAGTTTCGCTCTTGTTACGCAGGCTGGAGTGCAATGGCGCGATCTCGGCTCACCACAACCTCCGCCTCCTGGGTTCAGGCAATTCTCCTGCCTCAGCCTCCTGAGTAGCTGGGATTACAGGCACGCGCCACCATGCCCAGTTAATTTTTTGTATCTTTAGTAGAGACGGGGTTTCACCATGTTGACCAGGATGGTCTCGATCTCTTGACCTCGTGATCCACCCGCCTCGGCCTCCCAAAGTGCTGGGATTACAGGCGTGAGCCACCGCGCCCGGCCTGTTTTCTCTATTTAAATGTAAGTGCAAGGGCGTCATTTGGTTTCTCATGTACTCTGCAGAATTTTAAGTGTAAAACAACAGAAATATGATTTCCGAAAACTTAAAGCGAATGATTTTTATCTTTGGAAAACTAACATTTCTGTCTCTATTTCTCATCTGGATGAAACTATGCGTTTCTGACATCAGTTGTAACACATCTTTCCGCATTCTCAGTCGAAAGCAGAAGAGTTGAAGCTTATCTCCTTTTTCACAGGGGATATTGTGACATTCTCCTTTTCCAACTACATCCATACTCCCTGTTTTATCCAGAATTTCATAGATTGTCACCTTCCTCTTTACAGTTTTCTGCAACAAAAAATTAATATCATGTTGGTGAGGACATAGTAACCACCTTACATAATGGAAAGTCTTTTGTAACAGATTAAAACAAGATGCAAGACATCAACTCCTAGTACAGTATGAACATACAGTACATGTGCCTTAGTTTAGACCATCTCCCAGAGCTCTCCCTTGATACTCTTTTCTGTAATGTTCTAAGTATTTCTATGACAGTTCTAGAGCAAAGGGTTATCTTCTCAATTTCAACTTTTTTCATTTCCAGGACAACTATGCTTCCCAAAGCACCTTGATACTAAGGAACCTGAACTCTGGTAGGGTTATTTGGCCTCTACCCCTATGCAGAAAGAATAAGCATCTGTTACAACTCATCATTCACCATGTTATGAGGAATCTACAATAAAAAGCAAGCTTCTATTAACTATCTAATTACTCTTTTGACTTTCTCTATGTACTGAATCTCTTTCAACGTCTGCTCCCATCTGATCTCAGGTCTTTAAGCTCAAATGTTCCAATCTCTTGCTCATCAAGACTATTACCTGTCATTCTAGATATGTATTACTTTTTTTTTTCCTCTTAAAAATTTTTTTTTTTAAAGACAGGGTTTCACCATGTTGGTCAGGCTGGTCTTGAACTCCTGACCTCAGGTGATCCACCCACCTTGGCCTCCAAAGTGCTTGGATTACAGGTGTGAGCCACCATGCCCAGCCTAGATATGTATTTCTAAGAATAATTTAAGAGTGTGTGCAGAAAGCAATGCTGGTAAAATAAAAGATTGTTCTAGAAAATAAATATAATGGGTTGTGAGCTGTCGGTCATCTAAGAAATTATTGGAATCAATAGCCAGGTATAGATGGTTTTCTGAGATGGAATCTCTCATGCTAACTAGTTTTATGAATTTTGACAGTAACATATTAGAAAAATTATTCTGCTCTTTTTGTTTTCGGTGACATGACGTGTCTAATATTCAAGTACAGATTACCTAACTTTCCAAGTATCACCCGAATTCTATTTCTCAGTTGTTCAATACTTTTTGATGAATGGGTTTCCTTTGGTCTGAACATTGTCCTACCCATTTTCGGCATTTGATTTCCAGGTATGAACAGTCAATTCATTTGTTGCCCTGACTGTCAAAACTGGAACTCAAGCCTCAAAGGACAATACTTCATTCAAAATGAAAGTAATATGATTTTTGCTACAACTGAGATTATAATCAAAGAAATAAATTTAGTATTATGCTAGATCCCTCACTATTCTTGATTGTTATGGCTCAGAATAGTCATAGCTGATGAAGTCTCATGGTTTCTCGGTGAATGCTTTACTAAAGAACATCAGGGTGACATTTTGGAAAGAAAAACATTGGAAGCAGAACATTAATAGGTTTCCTAATCTTGGTCTTAACCTTGAAGAAGACTATCTAATTGTCAGTCATTTTGATAGAGCCCTGAGTTCTAATGTTAAGTAAATATGCAAAGTTCCATTTAGTACATCAGGGCTCTTAATTTCAAGTGTTTTTGTAGAAAATGCAACAAAACAGCTTTGATGCCTTACTTTATGTAGTGTAAATAATCCATACACAATGTCTCCTGAAGCTTGTTTGTGAAGAATATTGATCTTCGGAGTTTTCCTTGCTCTTCTGATGACATCCTTTGGAACCTGAAACGTTTGCTCAGGACCAGCTTCAGATACAGAAGAGGCTTCATTCACCTCTAGGAGACTATTATATTTAAAATAATTTGATATAATGATGATTCTCTTTTTAGTGAATTTCCTCTTCAAGTTGATGTTTAAAACCTTCACATGAAAGAACTCTGTCTGCGTAACCACTGTAGCATGAAACATTCTTCTTCGATTTTTTTCTGAGGATTCATATTTAAATATCTTTGTTGCATTTAGTACCATCACTCTCATTGGGTCTTTCGAGCAAATATTTTTTCTGGCAGTTGCCTGACGCCTGACCTTAGGTCTTAGGCTTTGTGCCTGGTAAATAAGAAATACAAAAAAACAAATTTTTGAGTGAGGAAACAGAACTCAAGTCACAACTTTGGGCCCCAAAACTTTATAGATGTGTAGAGCAGGATACAGGGAAGGAGAGGATATCCTAAAGTAGTCTAATAGCCAGAGGAAGTAATATAGGAGGCCACATGGTAAAAGAAAAAGACTTTTCTCTTAACAGAATAAACCTTAAAATGTAAGATATAATAGCAACATAAGACAAGTGGATACTGAGCCAATTATCATGAAGTTACTTAAAATAAATATTAGGATAAAATAATGAATTGCACTTTTATTCTTACCAGCTTAAAATAGATGAAATACAATTGAATAGTGCAGAAAATGGTAAGGGATGTCTACCAGAAACCACATGTAACAAGAGGGTTTAGTTATTACCCACGTAGACAGGGCAATTTTTAGAGGACAACTCATACTTTTCCTACCTAAGATAATTACTGTTAAAGCAGGTGATAGCACCTGGGGGCTCAGCCCCCCCGAAAGCCCTCATCTCAGTAGGTTCAGGCTACAGACACTCCGCAGACCGTCATTTCCACCACTGCAGCCTTTCCCAATGTCAGGGCTCTGGGAGGTGGCATGCTGACAGAAAACCCAGGATGAGAGTGGATTGTCTTTCATATCCTTTTTCTATAACATCCAGGTTTCCTTAAATTGCAGCAGAACACATTGATGGCGGAGAAGTAGTTCAATTTCAAGAAAAAGTTCTGGAGGAACAGGTAGGCCTCATCCACAGACGAGCAGCTCCCGGCCTGGTCTGACCTGGACTACACACGGCGATCATTTGTGAGTCATTGGACTTTATTGGATCTGACTTTTTATCAGTGTGATCCATTCAGCCTAACACAGAACAGTCCTTTCCCAGTGCAAGTGAATCAGTAACAGTAGACTCAGCCATGAGAATATTAGTAGTAACAGATATGCAACTTCACAAGGAGCCACGTGAATCCAGGACGTGCATGAAGGGGATCATATAACCACTCAGAGAGACATAATAGGACAATACCTCGTAGGATGCTGTTTTCAGAAAAAATACGTGTATACATAGGAGTAAATATGAAAGGGTAGATAGAGAAATGTGGCATGATATGGATGCTGGAATTTCACATAAATTTAAGTTTAATCTTATTTGTCTACCTTTATTCCTTTTTTTCTGAAATAGTCTTAAATAAGTACAAAATCCAATGACAGGTTAAAGGTAATAGAGCATGTTCCAATTACGGCTGGTGTTGTGGTTTCATCCCCTGTTGCCCCTGTTGCCCATCACAGTTGATCCCCTCTATTGTGTATCAGAAATATAGAACATTCATTTTTATAATAAAGCTCATGAGAGTTTTGATTAGATTTTAGACTGTCCCTGATAGTCTAACAGTAAAGGCTGACCTGTCCAAACTGAGATGAGTACAACCGTATAAGGATTATCAGAATCATGCAACTATAAATTGTAGTTTACTTCCTTTCATTTGCAAGTCTTGGTGTATGGTCTTCTGTCTGCCTACATTTTCCCAAACTCCTGAGCTCTCTTCCCTATTCCATCCTTTTGGCCTCACAATAGGTACCTTTGACTGAGTCAGATGACCTTTATTTGTCCTTTGCTTAGCTCTAGTGGTTCATATCTTAGAACATGGTTTGCATTTTTTTATGGAGTAAAGATTTTTATTGGGAGCTTCCCATGAGGCAGACACTGAACAAGGCCCTGGAATACAGTGGTCCACAGAATTACAAAATAGCCTTAATCTTTTAACTACTTTTAGTAGGTGGAAAAGATAAAAACATATTAACTTCGGTTGTCATAAGTCGTAGAAAAGAAAGAAGTTCCCAGGAAACAGAACACCATGAAGGTTTAACCTAAGTTACAGGGATCTGAGGATTCCCTGAGGATAAGATCACAATATTGGGATCCAGAGGGTAGATAGGGTTGGCCAGGTAAGAGGTTTAAGGTGAAAGAAATATGGTGTGTGAAAAATCCTAAAGTGAAAAGGAGCACGGTGTATGTCAAAGAAACTCGAACCAATTAGTGAGCAAAGGGAAGAGGTGAGAAACGGTTGGGGGCAGTAGATGGTGAGTCCATTGCTGAAAGATTCAGATTCTACAGCTCTCCCTCCCTTCCCCAAACAACACGGGACAGAACACTTCCTGAAGTCAGAGATAATCTCAAGTTCATAAAGCATCACTGTGGAAGCAAAATATTAAATGAAATAAACTCTCAGCCTATACATTTGATTTACTGGCTGATTATGGAGGACATTTGTCAGTAGAAGATGAAAACAGATTCCTACGTTTTAGGTTGAAGAAAATGAATCAAAAGCAGACCGGAAAGAGAATACCTCAGTTGAGGAAGTGTTGTGTGGAGTTGATGATGAGGGCCGGGGCGGTGGGGAATGGCTCCTGGCTGTGGACATGCTGGCTTCTGCAGGACAGGGAGGCTGAGTCTGCTCCTTGGACATCTTACTCCTTTTGGTTCCAGTCTCTTCTTCAGATGAGTTTTTTCTTTTCTACAAGTAGTTATTTTTTTTTGTTAATTATTTTAAGTGCCAAATGAAGCAGAGCACATTTTCATTACAAGGTAGTATGTTTATTACATATAAATTGTGTTTCTTGGAAACTTAAGTGGGTGCTGTACATCCCCAAGCCAATTGAAAGAACAGGGCATAGATGGTTCCACTTAAAAAAGGGAGCAGAGAAAGTAACACACATCACTCCTTAATTACTTGTGTTTTGGGATGTGCTGACTTGCAGATAAAAAACAATGATTTTTCAAACATGGGCAAACATTTTTGTATTTGACTCTCAAGTTAACATCCCCTATTGGGGATGAAAATATAATACTTATTTTACAGAATTTACATTACGTTTACTAAAGTGTTTAACTTGTTGCCTCGCAGAAAGATGATCAATTACTATGTAATTTAATAAATCTGAAACTTGATGGGAAACATATGAAGAAATAACTTCCTGCTGGAGAGATTGAGTGGAGGAGCCATAGCAGAGCTTCCACGGTGAAACCTGAAGCCCGCCCCTCTTCCTGAAGCTTACCTGAGCCCCAGGAGTCTCCTCTGCTCCTTTAGCTGTGAGAATGTGGCTTGGAGTGGATTCAGGTGTAGCACGATCCACTTCATTCTGCTGCTTCTTCTTAGATGGGGTTTTTCCTTTGACTGGAAAAGATTCAATTTTACTCACGACTAATGAAGGAAAAAGGAAGATGTGTAAAAACCCAGAGGGACAGCTGAAGCAGTTCAAATACTGCGTGCTCTTAGCACCCGCTTGAGAGTTCAGGTGTGGTTTAGTCTACCTCTACTGCATTAGCCTAGTCTGGCTTCCAGGAGGCCAGCAGAAACAAAGGCACAGGCACTGACTCATACTCCTCGGCGCTTTCATCGCTCTTCCCCTGTGCGGTGAGTACATTCTTCCTGTCCTCTGAACTCAGTGAAACCTTTTCCCAATCCTGTTCTCCTATCATTTCCTTTTAAAACTTAAGGTTCTCATGATGCTGACACATCCTCCAGATAATCTATTTAAATGACAGAAAGGAGTGAAAGGAGATGTTGTATAGGTTTGTGAGGTGAGATATGGTGAGTTTTGACTTTGTTTTAATTATTTTAACTCAATGATATGACAAGAGGAGAGGTCTTCATACTTCCAAGAATGATGCTTACATTTAAATTCTGTGTTATCTTTTGTATTATAAAGGATGATGACATGTTGAATATTCTCAATAAAACAGACATTACTTGGCTAAAGGTACATATCTTAGATATAAAGAACAATTTTTATAATTTTATTTTGTCATTATCTAATCTTTGTTTTTTTTGGTGGTGGGGGAGTGGAGTGTCACTCTTGTTGCCCAGGCTGGAGTGTAATGTCACGATCTCAGCTCCTGCAACCTCTGCCTCCTGGGTTCAAGTGATTCTCTGGCCTCAGCCTTCCAAGTAGCTGGGATTACAGGCCCACCACACCTGGCTAGTCATTATCTAATCTTTTGAATGCACTGGAAGTCACAATCTCTCTTCAATTCCCTCTCCTTTTTGTGCATTTACTGCATCTCAACTCCAGTATGTGTCAATCCACGTTAGTAATGGCATGCTGTAAGTTGTCATAACTGATTTGTCACAAATGGAGAAAAGGATGTATCAGTTGACTAAAGTGATCTGGGGATGGTTGCAGGGAGTAGGTGTTCCCTCTTCCCAATTACCTTTTAACGTTTCTTTTTTAAGAGTTTCAGCAAGGTTGCCAAGTGTTGGTATTTCTTTGATAATTTGTATTAGTTTGCCCAAACCAGCATCATCTGGGAACTTTTCCTCCATCAAGTCAGCAATCTGAATTTTGTCATACTCGTCTCTCATTTTTGAATTAAGTTTTAAATCGCTGCTCAGTAAGGACTTAACCATTCTAAAATGATAATCATTGATGACCTCTAATCCTTTTAGTAGAACAATTGTCTTGTAGATATTTGCCATCTCTAAAGATACCAGTGAGCCTGCAAGAGAAAAATGTCATACAGTGTTACACGTGTATACAGATTATCTAAAAGATGTATGCCTATGCGAGTTGAATGGCCATATGAAAAGTTGTTCATGAATATGTGTGATAAAGAAGGACTTAATGACCAAATGTGTTACCATAGAAATTGAGTGAACTGCTGCTTTAGGAATGTCTAAATAATTCTTCCCATTGAATAAGAATTGTTGAGTTGGGTCCAGGTGTTAGAGGGAGGTCTGAGAACAAGCTATAGTCTCAGTGTTTAGAGTATGGGCTGTGCAATGTCAAAGTCTTTGTTTTCTCTTCCCATCCTTTATCGGGACTGAAGTCTCACCAAAGCCTGCCTGTTGTTTCTTAAATCTTCCCACACCCACCACTATAATTGAAGTGTCCTATGTGTAAATAGGGTAAATAGGGGGGCAGCCTCCCACCTTGTATGAATAGCTTTCTGCCACAACACTACAGTTTCTTCCTTTTCTTTTCTTTTTTTTTTTGAGATGGAGTTTCGCTCTTGTTACCCAGGCTGGAGTGCAATAGTGTGATCTCGGCTCACCACAACCTCCGCCTCCTGGGTTCAGGCAATTCTCCTGCCTCAGCCTCCTGAGTAGCTGGGATTACAGGCACACGCCACCATGCCCAGCTAATTTTTTTGTATTTTTAGTGGAGACGGGGTTTCACCATGTTGACCATGATGGTCTCGATCTCTTGACCTCGTGATCCACCCGCCTCGGCCTCCCAAAGTGCTGGGATTACAGGCTTGAGCCACCGCGCCTGGCCTACTACAGTTTCATTCTGGGGCACTGACCGTATTCTCCTTAACTCTTCCCTAGTTAACTATCATTAGTATCCTCTTCCTTGCCCTGTTTGCCCTCTGTGCCCATAAAACTATCACTTTCCTGAACATCTACATTTTCTCTATTGCAGAAACACAGGATTTATTGGCTGGAAGTATTTCAATAGTTACTTGATTTGTCTAATACATTTTCATTACACAGACCCACATTTCTCTCTATAAACTACATTTTTGTCCCACTGAAATCTTTCAATATTTGCCCATTTTCTTTTCAACAGTTCCTCGCTTCTTGTATTATTTTAGAAGGCTGTGAATAATCTGCATTTGTTTTTAACCTGTGGCACCTGTGTGTTCCTTATATTGTACATTTCAGAAGTATAAAACCTACCGGCATTTTCATGTTTCATAACTTTGCTAATTCTCTTCTCATTGCTTGGAAAGCCATTCCCACATTCCTCTCTCTGACTACCTCCCATACAACCTTTAAGACTCAACTGAGGGTTTGTCTTCTAGAAATTTTCAGAGTCCCCTTATGGACAGAGTGTCACTCCTTGGGACCTCTTTAGCACCTGTGCACTTTAGCACATGATGACACTCAGAGCATGGTATGGATTTGTATTTCTTTTCAAATTAACACAGCACATTGGAAGGTCGAGGCAGGAGGGTCACCTGAGATCAGGAGTTTGAGAGCAGCCTGGCAAACATGGTGAAACCCCGTCTCTACTAAAAATACAAAAGCTAGCCAGGTGTGGTGGTGGGAGCCTGTACTCCAAGCAGCTTGGGAGGCTAAGGCAGGATAATCACTTAAGCCCAGGAGGTGAAGGCTGCAGTGAGCTGAGATCATGACACTGCACTCCAGCCTGGGTGACAAAAGCAAAATTCCATCTAAAAACAAAAACAAAAATAAATGTTTTAATTTTAGAAACCATGTATTTGTGTACCTCTTGCATAATTTAGATATTTAAATGTCTGGGGCTGCTAATTGCTTTCTTCTTGAGAGACCCTGAGTTTCCTTAGATCGAAAAGCATAGAAGGAAGGAAAAATGTGTACAAGGACATATAGTGAAACTGAAGAAGATAAAAAAACAAATAAATAGTCTAAGCCTCTGTGTGAGCACTGCTCAGTACCAAGCTTGGATTTTCTAATCTTTTTAGGCAGATTCGTGGGAAGAAAAACACCAGCTGAGGTATATAGACAAAAGAAAGAAAGTTTATTTACAAGGAAAGAAAAAAAAGAGTATTTACAAGGATACCTAGAGACGCTCACAAACTTCAACACCGGCAGTAAAGCAGCACGGGTTTTCACCAGTCCAGATCAAGTCAGCACCGAAGCTCAGCTCGGCTTCTGCTAAACAATCTTTTATACTTTTTAAAACAAAGAAGGGTCAAGTCAGGACACTGTCCACGTCTTCATCATGTAACTAACATCCTTGAGGTGTTTACCAAAAATTGGATCAGGGAACTGGCCAGGTTCCCAGATCTGACTCCTCAGAGCCTTTTTTTGCATTGGGAAAATTCTGAGCTTGGAATGTTCCCAATGATAAGGAAATGAAGATGTAGAGTCTGTCCATGACTTGTAAACGTAATTAACTCCTTCTGTTCCATTACAGCCTCCGGGAATGAAGAATAGATCACTTGCAAAGAGCCAAAAATTACATTGAAACTGATTCTCAACAGCAAAACTACTCGAAACAGGAAAATGGAATCATTTTTATATAATGCTGGTACACAATCCCATATAAATTGCTAAACAAAAAAATTTAGAAATGGGAAGTCTTGATTTGTTTAGTGAGTGTGACAACACAATTTATTTGCAAAATGAAACCAAATGTGAGGTTACAGGAGGCCATGTATGATTTTTATTTTCTCCACTTAAATGCAAATGCTCATATGTTTTGTTGCTGAAATATTAGTGGTTTTGCTTTTGCAGTAAGGATCCTGATAACACTGGGTTTTCTAGAAAATGTGCATTAAAGAGTCTTTATAAACCTCCAAGTTCTGAATTTCAAAACATACCGAACTTCCTGGGTACAAAAGAAATGCTATCACCTTGTCTTGAAGAAAAAAATAATTTTAAAACTAGAATTTCAATCTAAACAAAGTGATATTTAAACAAAAGATCCACAAAAACTATTTTCTGAAGCTCAAGGCCTACATAGTTTTTCCAGACAAAGAGGCACACCAAACATTTTTGGAAGTACTTTTCAATTGAAAATTTTAAATTTAAAAAGCTATAGGCCAAAGGACAAGTAAGAGTGAAAAAATGAACTTGATTATATGTGTCTATGTCTTAAAAAGAGAGCCCTGATCAAAGAAAAGAGAAACAGAAAGGGAACCAACATGGTAGAGGGAGGAAAGAAAAAGAATATGACAGTTTACTGAAGTAATTGTCTTAGAGGGTGAGATGGAAATATAAGTTTTTTTTTTTAATTTTTAAATTTTTTATTGCGTTTTAGGTTTAGGGGTACATGTGCAGAACATGAAAGATAGTTGCATAGGTACAAACATGGCAGTGTGTTTTGCTGCCTTCCACCTCTTCACCCACATTTGGCATTTCTCCCCATGCTATCCCTCCCCAGCTTCCCCCCCGCCCCATTGTCCCTCCCCTATTGCCCCCAAAAGACCCCAGTGTGTAGTGCTCCCTTCCCTGTGTCCATGTGTTCTCATTGTTCATCACCGCCTATGAGTGAGAATATGCGGTGTTTCATTTTCTGCTCTTGTGTCAGTTTGCTGAGAATGATATAAGTTAAAGACAAGGAGGAGAATATAGAAGTGTTGTGAATCAAAATGAAGATAGCAGAAACAGGCTAAAATATGTTAACTATTAACTCATACATAAAAGGCCTGACTAGTTAAATGACAACTTTTAGCAAATTTGACTTAAAAATTCTGTATGTATGTTTATCAGTAAAAGATCACTTAATGGTGAAAAAAAAAAGTAAATTATCATGCAAGGAGGAGCTAGAAGATAGTCAGTTTATGTTAGCATCATTTTTCAAAGGTCTTAAGACAAAATGTATTATCAGATACCACATGATAAGCGGATCAATTCCTGGGAAGATACAAGAGTTTAAATTATGAATTTAATAATAATCAATATGTATTATTTATCATTACTGTATAGTCCTTCACGATAATAGAGTGCCATATAATATATTTATCCTCATATACACACATTCACACACACACTGCCACAAATATAAGTATTTATATGTGTATGTTTATGTATGGAAACATGTATACATGATCACATACACACATAATATACATTATATATATATGCATGTGAGCATATCTATAATATATATGAATTGAGAGAAGTATAAGAAAATACAGTTGTATGGTATATTTTATATCTTTAAATACTAAATGAACAAGGTAAAAAATCTATATAACACTTAAAAAATTTGAGCAAAATAAATATTGACAGCAATATTTATCTAACATGTATAAATTCTGAAATCACTTAAAATCTCACATTCTGTTTAAGCCACTGAAATATTACACCAGGCTATACAGAAAGTGTTCTAAATATTCTAAACTTTGACAATATAAATCTATTTCAAATTGACTTCTCTGCCTCTCCCCTATACCTTGCCATTAGAAAAATTAAAGATAATTAACTTTCAGGAGGGCAGGAAACAATCTTAAAATGTCTGAAAAACTTCCTCTTACACCTGATGTAGAATGAAGCTGATGTAAAAGTTAAACATACTTATGAAAACATTGACACCATTTATTTGAATAATCGTGCTCACAAAATGGATAAATTTTCTACTGTGTGTGTGCATTTATAGAATAATATATTTATAAAACATTCTCATATATGTTCTCACATATGTTCTCACTATGGAGATGTATTTTTTTCTTAATATTATTACCTAATACTTAGTGCACATCATTATCTTGTCTTATTTTTTCTTCTACTTTCATTTTGGGTTCAGGGAGAATATGTACAGGTTAGTTACATGAGTAAATTGTGTGTCTCTGAGGCTTGTTGTACAGTGATCCCATCATCAGGGTAGTGAGCACAGTACCAGACAGGTAGCCTTCCAACCCACAAACTGCTCCCATCTTTCCGTCTCAAGCAGTCCTCGTGTCTACTGTTCCTATCTTGTGTCCATATGAATTCAATGTTTAGCTTCCACTTATGAGTGAGAACATGCTGTATTTGGTGTTCTGTTTCTGCATTAGTTCATTTAGGATAACGTTCTCCAGCTGCATCCATGTTGTGCATATACACCATGGAATACTATGCAGCCATAAAAAGAATGAAATCATTATCTTGTCTTTTGCCCAGACCCCAATGGCCACCGAGCTTTCTAAACACAGAGAATTTGTTTTAAAATCTACAATGGTCAAAATGCATGTTCCTTCATTCATGCTTTAGTTGTGGAATGAAAGATGTCTACTATCTTTGAAGTAAGTAAAGAATTAGAATTAGTAACTGCGGTTTTCACTTTTCTGCATATAGTTGATACCAGCCCTCCTCCCTTTCTCCAACTGCCCTGAAGAACCAATATTGAGTTTTCCCTTATGATTTTGTGAATTTTGAGGAAGCATCCAGATCTTTTCTACAAGAAACACCCACAGTACTCACCTTACTGGGAATTTCTTCAATGGTAGTCCAGATCTTGAGATCTTCAGAAATGTGGGAAACAAGGATTGTTTTGAGTAAGGAAGTAAACCAGTAACGCTGTCAGAAACGCATAATGTTATAATCTCCTGAAATGCTAAGAAAATGAAGTACTTTCGAAGACAACAAGGGAAAAAGGCCCTCCTTAGAGTCACTTGACCCATACTGGCTTCCTCATATTCTGCTACTTCCCCAGGGAGAGAGGAGTTGTGCAACCATGTATAGACGCCTCCCACCAGTATGTTTTAGCTTTCGATTCTGTTAGAGACAGTGAAGAGTTTCTTTCCTGTAGGTATCTTAATGAAAGTAAAATTTGTATCAAAGTTATAGTTAAATTTTTTTTCTTACAAATATTGATAGCTGAATGAAGTTCCAACCTTAGAACTTTCTTAGCCAGTAGACTTACATGTGGGTCATTAGGGACCTCTATTCTGTTGAATGATTGTCAAATATAAGAGAAGCAAGGTGGCTTCTTCTCCATCCTATCCTGTGCAGAGTGGCAGCCACAGGAGGAGATACTGGTGGAAGCATCTATTGCCACCAGTCCTTTACTGCATCTCCTGGATGGGAGAATGTCTGCTATGAAATTGCAATTGGTTTAAATATTACCTGAAGCATTCACCCAGTTATTAGTAGTTGACAAACCTAGGGATTGCCAGATCAGAAAGTTATTATGCTATGTAAATCCTTTCTCAGATATGTATAAAGAAGTTTAACACGAGCTGTCCTCTTGATGATGACTGGGTTACTTTACCTCAATGATTTGATTCATGATTACTCCGGTTCTCTTCATCATTCATGGAAAAACACAAGTGGATAGTGAGCTTACAACATGACAGCAGTGAAGCCTTGAAAGTCCTGGACACGCACTGAACTTCTGGTGGGCGAGAGTCCCGATAAACCCTCTGCTCACCAGTGTTTTGTCTTTTAAGGGCAGTGGGTGCCCTTCAGAGCACTGTAACCCCAAGATGTCAAACAAATGACACTAATTGGCAGATGATGTTGTGTTAACTCAGCAGCAGATCTGCCAGCAGGATGTGGCCATGAGTGAAAAGTGGGGCCCCAAGTACAGCGGTAGGGGAGAAAACATGTTTTTAAAAATTACCCTTTTTAGGTTCTTAGTTGACAGGCTCCTGAAAACAAAAGTCAAATTAACAGAATAAAACAAGCAGTTTGTTAATGTGTGCTCTACCCATCACAAGGGATAGGCTTCAGGTCAAAAGTATTTCTCTCTCCAGGCTGTGGCTTAGAAACCTTGTTTAAATAATATTTCAATAAAGAGCCATAAATCCTATATAGTGGAAAGCAAAGGAGAAAGTAATTCCAGCCATTTAAAAGGTGGGAAAATGTGGGAAGGGAGTAAAATCTGTTCCTGGATTCCTCAGGTTCCTGCTGGTACCTTCTCTGGGCTGAGAAACAAGTGCCTTCTCCAGTCAGTAAGGATCTATGTCCTGCTCTCAGCCAAATAGAGCCTGGGGCAGCATGTTCCCCGGCATTTTCAGTGTCTTTAACTTAACAATCCTCAGGATTTTGAGAAGTAGTATTTTGGTTTCCTTCAAAGATAATACAAATGATCTGAGGCCATCTATGGAGCAGAAGAAAGCTGATCGTCTTAGTACAAACCTGGGTCGTGAAGAGGATTGTTAAAGTCTGGATTTGGAACATTACCGTAATGTTAGCAAAGCAGAAGTAAGAAAAAGCGAGGAGGGTCTGGAAGGATGACCATCCATAAAAACACCGTTGAGTGTTCACGGTTTTCGTTTATACGTTGACGTTGCTGTTAATGTGGATACACTGAGTTGGTTTTAAGATAATAGGTAGAGAGGGATGTTAGGAAGGCCAGGTGGCCCCAGT